AAACGTACAGAGACAAGTTATGTATCAAATTAAAGTGCTCGATCTGAAGCTTTGCACGAACATTTCAGGTTTAAAAATCATTAGACCACTTTTGAAATATTTGCATGGAAAAATTTTTAAAGTCTTTCATTGAACAAAGAATTGCTACGTTTATTTCAATAGGCGGCAACTGCGGAGCGCTCTCAATATGGAGTAAAAAGGACGCCAACAGCAACACCTTGAAAGAGGGTTTTCGGAGCACTCCGAATATGGAGTGAAAAGGGACTCCCACGTTAACACCTCGAATGGGTGTTTTCGGAGCATAAAAGCAGTTGACTTTATGTCAGTATCAAATGCATTTAGCGGTATACAATAATGCATAAAAAATTACTTTTGTCTAACTTTAGAACTTTTCAGATGTATTTAATAGAAAATAAGCTGGATCCGCAAAGTGGTTCCAAACCTTAAAGCAACGTGTTTTAAACAAGATCAAAAATATTTTTTGATTTACTTCAGGATTTTTCCGTTTTTATCTGTTTTTACTGAATATGTAAATAATTTTTTAATTTAGCTCTTCGAACGTCGAAGAGTGCGACGTGTTTTTTTAAGTTCGCTCCGTAGTCATTACATATTGGGCTAATTTAATAAAACAAAAACAAATATAAAAAATAATAAAAAAATAATAAAAAATAATAATAATAATAAATAAACAAACAAACCAAATGAAAACAGAAAGCAATGAATCAAGCTGAAATCTGTGCCCAGAAACAACGCGAGCGAAATGAGCGCCGGCTTTCAGTTCAACACAACAACGCATACTACTTTATTCGATGCCAGAGTGACAGCGAAAGCACAAAGCCCAATCCATCGACCACCCTCGAACCTCCTCAAGATTCAAGTCAGCGGACTTGTCCTCCAAACTTAACATCGACGACTCCGATGTCTTGGAGTGAAGAGTGCGCTTCACCTGTGCCGTATCACATTTCACGCCCAACGCTTACATCAAATTCGGTAAGCGATAACATATCCCCAAATATAGCTGCAGCAACAACTAGTACAGTGACTTCTTTGACTACCTCAAATGCGCCAACAACAACAACCACAAACACACCGGTACCTGCCAACTGCACAGCGATGTCAAAAAACCGGCCTATTCTTGCTGAACAAGCACAAATCGGCTTGAGTGAAAGCACTTACACTGGCAACAAAGGTAAAGCGCAAGAAAAGTTGAAAAACGAAACAACTAAAAATGCGGCCATACAGACAGGAATGGACCGCTACACGGTCAAAAATTTGGGATTAATTTTTAAACCGCGCTGGGACTACTGCCTTTTTTAATCTTTTATAGTCTACTTTTTAAACCAGTCAATAGTTTAAGCAATTTTTAATATATTGTGGTTTAAATTTTAGTCCAAAAAGTTCGTGGTTTAAAAATCAAACCCAAATGTTTTACTTCTAGTTTCTGAAACTCAACATGAAGGCGCATTTACATGCGTGACTGTAGCTGAGTGTGCAAAGATGCTTGATACAATTGGTTGCTACCAAGGCTGTCCGGGTTCAATCCCCATCAGACGGAGCATGAAATTTAAGATTTGTTTTTATTCTTTATTATGAAAATGTTTGGGTTTCAAGTTTAAACCGAACTGTTTAAACTCTAAACCCAACATATGTGCTCTCTTTTTTTAAACTTGGAAGGTTTGTATTTGAAACTGAATTTGGTTTGGTCATATACGTAGTTCAAAAAGCTTAAAATTAAAACCGAAATTTTTAACCACGTATGTTACAATAAAAAGAGAACTTAGTCCGCAAAATTCAACGGCAGTAAGAAAAAAATAAACCGCCTAAACTCAACTCAGCAAGTCAGTACGAATAGATTTGCACTGCTAAGAGACAACGACGATGATGTGAATAGCCAAATTTCTGAAGGTGCTGCAAAAGCTACTAATGCCAAACTTCCTCCGACTTTTATAAGAGAAGATAATTCAAGCGCTCTTGTTAAAAAATTCTCTCATTTGATAAATAACAAATTCCTTTATGTAATAATGCACACTATTATATTAAAACGGCCAATAACCTTTAGAAAGTGCAATATGTAACCAATAGCTCGATTTATTACTACCTGGAGCATAATATGCTATTGGAACTAGTAATTTAACTAGTACGAAAGCGACAACAGTCTCCGAACCCGCTGCAGGGAATAGCCAGAGGTGGGCACTACATCAAACAAGCGTGAGCTAAAAGTGAGAATGTGTTAGTGTACCTAATTCCCCTGTATGATCTCGGAATAGACTTAGAGCACACCACAAACTAGACTGCAAGTGATTGTAACTAGTCAAAAGTTTGGTCCAAGAACATGTGAAATTCTATTTACATTTAACATTGAATGTCCTAGGCTCGGACCAATTGTCCGCTTCTGCCTTACATTGTAACCAAAAATAAAACTTGCGCCAGCTGCGATTCGAACCGGGGTTCTCAGATTTTTTAAGCGGATACTCTCTCTACATATCAGCAAATCGTTAATTATACCCATTGTCCGCTACTGCATGACATTGTAACCAATTTTAGAACAAAACTCGTACCTTATGCATTACATTCGGACCACTTTTAGTACAATTCACCTGTTTTACATATCATTGCTTTAAATTTTTGGACTATCTTTGGTCTAGTTACAAAACTACTGTACGACTATATTTTTCGAGCAATTGGACCAATCTTTCCTTCAGCGTCATTTTGCATGTTGTCGTGTTCTCATCGCTGCGCTCTCGCTTGTATACGTACACGCGACGCTTAAGGCCCGTCCACATACAACTTTGGCGTTGCGTTGGCGCTGGCGTCGCTTTGACAGCAGCGCGAGTAAAAGCCTGATTATGGAAACTTAACTTAATTTAACGGAACGTAGAACTTAGAGAATCAAAATGAAACAGATTTCGACGTGGCATTAAGTTACGTTAAGTTTCGGCTGTTCAATTCCAAGCAACACCCATTTAACAGAATTTTTAACAGAGAGCCATAAGTTACGTTAAGTTGCCATAATCAGACCATAACGCCCGTGCTTGCTACAATGAACGCTTAGCAGAGAATACTTTGGTCACTAAATTAACACACACAGATAATTCTAAATTTTACATCAAGAATTGCATTAAAAACTATATTTCTTGCCCGCATTTGATTAAAAATGAAAATTAAATCACATAATTTTGATTATTTGGAACAGCTGACGAACGACGCGCGCGAAAAGTTGAGAGATGGCCATCTTTCTACGTTGTGTTGGCGTTGGCGTTACCCAACTTTGGTTATGTGGAGACTTTCATATAAATGCATGTATTCATAGTCAGTTGTCGAAGCGACGCCAACTCCAACGCAACGCCAAAGTTGTATGTAAACGGGCTTTTACGCTCTTTTAGCACCTGCTAACTCTCTGCCCATGCCTGCTATTAGCACATATGTACATACATATGTATATTAGGGTGCCCATCGAAAATGTTTTTTTTTTTTTGGAAAATTCAAGACCCTACCCCCTAATTTTATTCGTTCTTAGGAGAAATATTATTGCCATTTTTTATAGATTTTTTAAAGGTCATTTTGTAGAAGGTGGAAGGTTCTAACACACTTTGCTTAATTTCGGTGGGAATCAAACTTCCCAAAATCAGTTTTTCCTGTCCAACAAATGACTATAAAAGACCATCAAGCAAAGGTGCAGGAATTTCCGGGGATAGTAGTCGAAATTTTTTGCTTTAATTTAAGCTTAAGCGGGAGGTTCTACCACCCTTTGTTTCCTTGCTAGAGCTTCTCAAATGTTGCAAAAAACGCGATTTTTTGACACTTTGACCTCGTTTTTCTTAAAATCTAGAGCTCATGGAAACTTTATGCTTACGTCAAAAATAGCGTTAATATTTTCTGCATACATTTTTTTTCTATTTTTGATGGCCTGTGTAATAAGTATTGTTAAATAGCCAATACCCGCATGTTTTCGGCGCCTTCAAACACTTTTCGAAGTGTAAAACAATGACCCAATTCTTTTCTATGCATATCTATAATACGGGTATCGAATTTCAAGCAAATCTGACCATAAGTAAAATTTTTTGCAATAGATTGGTCTCTGGTCCACCTATTAGAAAAGAGTATCCTATATGTCAATCCTGGCAGTAAGCTACCTACGTGCCGAATTTCAAGTAAGTCGCACCATAAATAAGAGTTTTTTCAATAGATCGGTATCTGGCCCACCTATCAGAAATAATATCATATATGTTAACCCTGATAATAAGCCACCTACGTGCCAAATTTCAAGCAAGTCGCACCAAAAATAAGATTTTTTCCAATAAATCGGTACCTGGTCCACCTATCAGAAAAAATATCTTATATGTTAAACCAGACCATAAGCTACGTACATACGTGCCAAATTTCAAGCAAATCGGACCATAACTGAGACTTTTTTCGAATAGATCGGTCCCTGGCCCACTTAACGGAAAACATGGATCCTATGTGCTAATCTAGGCAAAAGGCTACCTACGTACCAAATGCATTTTCAGCGTAGCTCGACCCTTGCGCCACCTATCGGAAAAAATAAAACTTTGTGCACTACTCCTTCTAAACACCTTTCCAAAAAAGCAACAATCATTCGAATCGGGTATGAAACATAGGAGAAAATTATTCCCAATTGATTCATGCTCACAATGAATTTCACAATTATCCGAAATTTTCCAAGCTTCACAACGAATTTTCTACCTTTACATCGTCCAAAATCATCAAACCATACGATAAAATGTAAAATTCGTAAAAAAAAATTAAATTTTTCGCGTTCTTCCGGATTTTTCCGAGTTTTCCACTTAGAATTTTCTATTTTGCAATTTCCCGACTTTCCCGGAAGGTTTTCCCAAAACTTTCTTCCGTAAAAGCCTTCTCCTGGCAATTACGAACAACCAAGAAAAAAATTTTGCCAAATCGGCCCAACCGTTCTCAATTGATGAATTACTATAAATTTTTCACACCATTTTTATATACGTATAAAGATTTTAACTTACACTCAACCACAATAGTAACGTTCAGCTTTGCAGATCCCTCTGTATTTCTGGCCTCACATATATAAACACCGGCATCATTCCGATTAAGTTTTGTAAAATTAAGGTTAGCTCCGTCGGCAAATATTCGATGCCCTGCTCCTCCGTTGCTGATGGAACTTGAAGGCACGGGTAAACCATCCTTCGTCCAAGCATACAAAATAGACACTGGGTTTGCCGTAGCGCTAAGAGAAACTTGTAATGATTCTCCTTCGACACCTACAGCGGTTGATGATGGAGGCGGCAGAAACACGGGTGGATCTTTTATAGGGGGAAAAAAAAAATTTATTGATTTCAGTTTTGATTAGTATTAAAAATTTAACAATAAACAGTTTTCAAAGGATGACACTTACAAAGGATATTTAAACTGACCGCCTCGTGCACACTTCTCTGCAATGCTTCGTTTGCACTCTGACAGGTATACACGACGCCATTCATTTCCTGAGAAACATTCACTTTGAACTCCAATGTTGAAACCGTTCCGCCCCACAGCCCCGGTTTAGATGAGTTGTTTATACCTAAAAATATAAGGTAAATAATAAATATTCAGCGAACCAAGATCTAAAAAGTTTTCAAAGTACTGGTTGACACAATGCATACATACATACATACATAGTATGTTTGTATCTACATTAGACTGCATCACTAACCATACAAAAAAAAATCGGTACTCTTTTTCCATTGGAATTATAAAACCTATTATATTTTAAGACGGCCATCAAAATATTTCGGAAAAATATTAAGGTTTACGCGAGATGGACCGATTTGAAAATAGCTCCAAAAATGGAGTTTTTTATGAATAAAAATAGTTTCTTAAAGATGTTTTTTGAAAAAATCCCCTCAAATGACAAAAGGGTTTAAGCTTAAAAAATTTGCATCAAAATATTTTTAAAAAATTAAAAAAAAAAATATTTGAACGGAATCGTGATCCTCGAGCACAGTGCGTAGGCAACTGGCTGAGTCAGTGGGATCGTCGGTTCGAATCCTACTGAAAGAAGTCTGATGAGGAAATGTGGTGATTTCCGAAATAGCTATCACTTCTACCATTTTTTCAAATTATTGTTGCTTTTCCACAATAAATTTTCATTTAAAAAATGGCCTCGAGCTCATTATAAAATTGTTGAATATAATTGTTAAAAGGCCAAAAAATAACAAAAAACAAATAACTTAAGGACGAGCACACCTAAAAGTTAAGCATTCTAAAAATAGAATTATTAGCACAAACCAACAAAACCAACAACCACATGATCAAGTGAATTGCAGCGGAATAGCTGCGCTTGATTGTGTTGGCATAACAAAAATGAAAATAGTGGAAATAAGCAAACGATAATTTACAAGGCGTCTTAGCACGGTGCATAGGCAACTGGCTGAGTCAGTGGGATCGTCGGTTCGAATCCTACTGAAAGAAGTCTGATGAGGAAATGTGGTGATTTCCGAAATAGCTATCACTTCTACCATTTTTTCAAATTATTGTTGCTTTTCCACAATAAATTTTCATTTAAAAAATGGCCTCGAGCTCATTATAAAATTGTTGAATATAATTGTTAAAAGGCCAAAAAATAACAAAAAACAAATAACTTAAGGACGAGCACACCTAAAAGTTAAGCATTCTAAAAATAGAATTATTAGCACAAACCAACAAAACCAACAACCACATGATCAAGTGAATTGCAGCGGAATAGCTGCGCTTGATTGTGTTGGCATAACAAAAATGAAAATAGTGGAAAAAAGCAAACGATAATTTACAAGGCGTACTTAGCACGGTGCATAGGCAACTGGCTGAGTCAGTGGGATCGTCGGTTCGAATCCTACTGAAAGAAGTCTGATGAGGAAATGTGGTGATTTCCGAAATAGCTATCACTTCTACCATTTTTTCAAATTATTGTTGCTTTTCCACAATAAATTTTCATTTAAAAAATGGCCTCGAGCTCATTATAAAATTGTTGAATATAATTGTTAAAAGGCCAAAAAATAACAAAAAACAAATAACTTAAGGACGAGCACACCTAAAAGTTAAGCATTCTAAAAATAGAATTATTAGCACAAACCAACAAAACCAACAACCACATGATCAAGTGAATTGCAGCGGAATAGCTGCGCTTGATTGTGTTGGCATAACAAAAATGAAAATAGTGGAAATAAGCAAACGATAATTTACAAGGCGTACTTAGCACGGTGCATAGGCAACTGGCTGAGTCAGTGGGATCGTCGGTTCGAATCCTACTGAAAGAAGTCTGATGAGGAAATGTGGTGATTTCCGAAATAGCTATCACTTCTACCATTTTTTCAAATTATTGTTGCTTTTCCACAATAAATTTTCATTTAAAAAATGGCCTCGAGCTCATTATAAAATTGTTGAATATAATTGTTAAAAGGCCAAAAAATAACAAAAAACAAATAACTTAAGGACGAGCACACCTAAAAGTTAAGCATTCTAAAAATAGAATTATTAGCACAAACCAACAAAACCAACAACCACATGATCAAGTGAATTGCAGCGGAATAGCTGCGCTTGATTGTGTTGGCATAACAAAAATGAAAATAGTGGAAATAAGCAAACGATAATTTACAAGGCGTACTTAGCACGGTGCATAGGCAACTGGCTGAGTCAGTGGGATCGTCGGTTCGAATCCTACTGAAAGAAGTCTGATGAGGAAATGTGGTGATTTCCGAAATAGCTATCACTTCTACCATTTTTTCAAATTATTGTTGCTTTTCCACAATAAATTTTCATTTAAAAAATGGCCTCGAGCTCATTATAAAATTGTTGAATATAATTGTTAAAAGGCCAAAAAATAACAAAAAACAAATAACTTAAGGACGAGCACACCTAAAAGTTAAGCATTCTAAAAATAGAATTATTAGCACAAACCAACAAAACCAACAACCACATGATCAAGTGAATTGCAGCGGAATAGCTGCGCTTGATTGTGTTGGCATAACAAAAATGAAAATAGTGGAAATAAGCAAACGATAATTTACAAGGCGTACTTAGCACGGTGCATAGGCAACTGGCTGAGTCAGTGGGATCGTCGGTTCGAATCCTACTGAAAGAAGTCTGATGAGGAAATGTGGTGATTTCCGAAATAGCTATCACTTCTACCACTTTTTTAAATTATTGTTGCTTTTCCACAATAAGTTTTCCATTAAAAACGGCCTCGAGCTCAATAAAAATTGTTGAATATAATTGTTATAAGGCCATAAAATAACAAAAACATTGATGGATTTGTATAATTTTTGTCCTCAAAATGTAAAAAAAAATAAAAGATATCGTGGTTATCAATGGAAAAAACGTACACAAAAATCGTATAGAAAGGCGATTTTTTATATTAAATAACTTTTGCTGCATTGTCATAATATTGAGCCAAATGGACTACTGATATTCTAGAATAGAGTAACTGCATGGTTAAATTTGGAGTCCGCTTATATTATCGATTTTTATGTTTTTTAGTCTATTTAAAAAATCATTTACAGTCTTATAGGAAATTGCCTTATTTCACCGCCTTTACATTTTTAAAGTTACAATATATGTCCAATCTGTGTTGAGCTGCCGATACAAACATATATTCAGGGCATAAATCACGTAACTTTGAAACGATTGTCGCTTAAACGATACTAAGAAAATTACGTCGTTAAAACACTGATTTATGCATTTGTGCAATATTTGGTTTTCATGAAGCAAGACAATCTCGACACGATATCGTTCAGACGATTGTCGTCATACGTGATTCATGCCCTGGCTTATAAACCTGTAGTTAAACATTTTTCTATATTTAATTTAAAATAGTATGCACCAACGGATTAAAAGTAGTAAATAATTAATACCTTTTCTACTACTTTAAAATGCGTGACCGGAATAGATCTGCCGAAAAAGTGAGGTTAAGTAACTTACAACACTTTGTTATTATGCCACCATGCTATTGGATTGCGAACTGCAAACTGCGCACCTTGATTATCGCATTTGATAACAGTTGGTTCTTTAAGTAATGCACTAAAATTCATTTCTGACAACAAGCTTCGATGAAATGCTATCTCTTTAGTCCCTTGACACATGGCAACATACTCCGCCTCCATCATACTCAGAGAAACCATATGTTGTTTTTTAGCTTCCCATGCAATTAAACCACCACAAAAAATTAACACATAACCACTCATAGATTTGCGATCAATCGTATCAGAACCCCAATCGGTATCTGTGTAACAAACCAAATTCTGATTATTTTGTTTGGTACAATTTTATAATTCAATTTTCTATCCCTGATAGAATATCAGCTGTAAAACAAGGACCACAAACAAACAGCTGATTGCTCTTTGTTCAATAAACATACCTCCAAGTGAAAATTAAACATACATACATAGCAGGGTTGCAACGAGAATCTGACACAAATTGTTAATTAATTGGCAATTAGTAATTTGAATTTTTGTATGATACATTGGGTAATAATTAAGGCTTAAATTGGTGAAAAGGTTCTTAATAGCCAATTAGATTCCTGCTTGAACATAGACTAAATTACCGTGGCAACCACAAAAATGCAGTTGTCAATAAAGCTACTCAGTTGTCAGCTTTCAGTTGCCAGTTGCCATCTGTAATGCCATTTCAGCCACTGGCCACCCTACTGAAGTTCGGTTGCAATCCGCAATTGACCCATAAGCCTTTTCGATCAGCTGTTTTGGCTGGGCAGAAGATGAGTTCAGGTAGCAAAAAAAAAAATTTACGATGAAAAAAACGGCGTAAAGTTTCCAACCGTTGAGCTGAGCGGAACTACTCAAGTATGCGTTGCCAAGATAAAATACTCAACGGTTAGACAACAGCTACGTCTTATGAACTTTTTTCAACAGTCCGTGGCTTGGCGAATATATCTATGATCTGTTGACGTGGCCTTACTCCGCTATAATAAACTAGCTTTACCCTGCCACGCTTTGCTGTGGCATATTCCTGTTATATGGATGATAAATTATTAACAAAACAAAGCATACGTTTCATATGTGTTTGGTTATGTAATAAGTACTTGTGTGCACACAATATTTGTTGGTTTTCCATTCTCTGCATAGATATCAAGGATATCTGGTTTGCCGACACAGGAACACACAACATCTGAGAAGTAATCCGCATCTAAATCTAAACCATACTTTTCCAAAGTTCGACCTGGAGCATTACCCACGCCCACGCAGTAGCCTGTAAATCTTCCGTAAGATCTTTTTCTCGAATACTCCAAGGGCCGCCTCATCGAATGTTGTCATTGGTTGCGTTCATAAGACGTAGCTGTTTAGGTCATCTGCTACGAAACTGCTGGTAACTGTTGAACCAAACAATTACTTCTTAGAAACGGCTTGATGAATATGCTGCCAAATGAACAGCTGATAAATGTAAACAAATGAAAATGCAACAAATAGAGGTAGTTGCGCCGATACTATTTAGAATTCAACGCTGAGCGGCCGCCGTGTTGAAAAAATCGTTCAATGTTAAAGTGAATTAAACAGTGTAAAATTATATAGCAAACATCTTAAAAACATATAT